CCGAGGTACGAAGCTGCTTTGGATTCGAGGATTCGGGAATCCCACAGGGTGATGGCGAGGGGTTGGGAAGAGCGGATTCTGGGGTAGTGGAATGTGATGAGTTGGGATTTGGATGGATTGGGTTTGATCCGCCATCTTCTCATCCAGGACTCCAAGGTGCGGCTGCAGTCTTGGAGCTTCCTGATAGCGATGGGGGCGATTCGGTGAGAGGACCAGATGACAGTGTCGTCGGCGTACTGTTGGATGTGTGACTGCGGTTGAGCCGGGGTAGGAATGTCGGAGCAGAAGATGTTGAAGAGGATTGGGGAGAGGATGGCTCCTTGCAGGACACCGGCATTGATTATGAAAGGGGTTGAGGAGGCTTTGTCGATTTTAATTGATATGGATCTGTTGAGGAGGAAGCTTTGCAGAAAGTTAGTGAGGTAGTCAGGAAAATTGAGGTGGACTAGTTTGTGGATCAGGCCACTGTGCCACACTGTGTCAAANATGGCGTGTTGGGTGGATGTGTGGTTAGTGAAACCATATTGGTGAGTTGGGATGATGTTGTTGGAGGTACAGTGTGTGAGGATTCAATTCCCAAAATCCGGATCCTTCTCCAGAAATCATCTTCGAATTCCATTCACTTATGTTCTCCACGGTTATTCAGAACTCCCCCAAAATCAAAATAACATAAATGTTTAAAATTAGATTGTTTTTACTTATAATTCTTTCACGTTTCAATTGTTTTACTTAATTTTCCTTATTATTTCTTCATGTTAATAAAGTTACATCAGTCACAAAAGAAATGTGAATTCAAATAAAAAACATCTTTAAATTTATATAAGATTTCTATGAATAATTTTAAATTTTGTAATTTGATGATGTTGTATCAATGAAATATTTTCTATAATCTAAACAAATCGCAGTGTATTTCATCAAATTGATTATTTTTTTTACAAAATATTTTCATAATTTGAAAAAGTTTAATTGGTTAACATAATGAAAACTAACCAATTAAAACTTATAAATGTACTACTTAGATTAATTGCAAATAGTTATTTTGAAAAATATGGAATATCTAAAGACAAAAAAGTAAACCAATAAATAATAATGGTTTAGTGGTTTAGTGGTTGGATGGTTTAAAAGTGTGACGATTTTTTTGTTGAAATAATTTAATATAAACGTTTAAACTATTATTGAACTATAATAATCTTAAATGATTAATTTATGAAATTTCATTAAAATTGTATAAAGTTTTCTTACTAATACAAAGGAAATTAAACGTACATCAATTATTTTTTTAATGTTTAAAGGATTATTGAAATAATTACTGTTTTTCATTAATTTCATTGTCATTTTTTATAATTCTCAATTGTTATTTTGATTAGTATAGAATTTTTTATTGATAATAATTGATACAATATTTTTGATGGATAAAATAATTACTATTTCTTGAAAAGAAGGAGAAGAAAGGCAAAATCAAAGAAGAGGAAGACAAGTTAACGGAAGAAGATGCGAGACAAATCGAAGAGAATTTATCACAAACTGGGGAAAAGTTTATAAGTAAGAGAAGGCTAAAAAGATGAAGGAATTAGCAGACATGGCTATACAAATAGAATAAAATTTGTTCGATAATTAATTAGTAGATAGGCATTTCTTGTAAATTTGAATTGAATTTTGAATTTTTTTCTGTTTAATGAATATTTTTAATCATATTAACAAATATCACTTTTTATAAATGTTAATAGATGGCGTTTCAGAAAAAAATGTTAATATCTTTTATATTACTCTTATTGCTTAGGGTGCAATTATTTCTGAAAATGTACATACCCCTACAGGTAATAAGGCAATAAAAAAGGTATCAGTTGTATTTGAGAGATTAGTATAAAATAAGAGCTTTGCAAATAGTTTAGCACAGTTTATCGCAAACATTCGTTGGAGTAACAACAACAGCCAAATACTTAAAATGTATATTCACAAAGAAGTTAGATCAATCCAAGGAAGAATTGAAGAGTATGTAGATGGTGAAAATAGAAACTATTTGCAGGATGTAGCAATGGTGAGACAATTACAGATGTTAAATAATATCGTATTGAATCAAAATGGTAAAATAGTGGCAGAAACGGTTAAATTTGTGGACGAGTTATGTGAGAAAACCTACGGTATTATTCAAAAGACAGCATTCGAAGTCCTCAGAGAACTTGTTTTCAAAAAAGAAGGTTTCAATAATATCAGGGAACGAATCAAGCGGGTTATGTCTACTGACAATCATAAA